GGAAGAATAATATGGTTTTTGCTGAAAATCTGCCTTTTATTTTTTTTTTTTTTTTTTTTTTCAACCAGCTGGGCAATATAGCAAAGACCCTAGTCTCTACAAAAACAAAACCTTGGGCACTAATACTAATGACTTTCCTTGGCCACCTCAAAATACGCAGTCTCAGGTAATCCAAGACAGTAAACATTTTATTGAACAAAAAACATTGCTTTCCTGTCTTGATAAAATGTGCTGAACATAAAACCAGCCCACACAACAAGTCTATGATTAATTTGAATTCTATCCTTAATACACAGTGGCATATGAGCACTGGTACGGGATGGTGGGTTTAATGTCATAATTTATGTGAGAGTTTAGTTTAGAAAACATCTACCTTAGATATGGTGCCCTTTAAAATACAAACAACAGAAGGTAAAGCTTCATCAAATCATGGTGGATACATTGCAAATGTTAGATAAGATAAGGATCCACAGAAAGGTGTGATTTAAAATATTGTCTTACATTCCACCTGCTGTCAACCCCTATTCCTAATATAGCTCAGAAAAATTCTGTTGATGCATTTACTCAAAGTGTTTGATACTCATAAACTTGCCTTCTTCTACCATGCTTTTGTACATCTTACGCCAAGGCATATACTACTACTGCTTTTTACTGCTAAGGTCACCACGAAGAAATAAGTGCAGGTTAACACAATAAAAGGAAGACATTTAATTTAGGAAACTCCTGGTGAGAGTTTTTAGTAAGAAAAAATATCTTTAAGGCCAGGCAATAGTGGCTAACAACCCCTGTATCTTAGCACTCTGGGTAGTGCAGAGGCAAAATCAACCTGAGGGTAGGAGTTCAAGACCAACCTGGGCAAGAGTGAGACACAACACACATCCTACTAAAAAATAGAAAAAATTAGCCGGGTGCATGTTTGGTAGTCCCAGCTACATCAAGACACAGAGAGACAAGAGGATCGCTTGAGCCCAAGATTTGAGGTAAATGAGAACACATAAAGCCACAGCACTATAGCCTGGCAACAAGGGTAAGACTCTGTCTCAAAGAAAACAAACATCTTTGTGGTCAGGGTCCACATCTCATCTCAAGCTTCTTTGATTTGCATGGTCCCAGCACTGTGGTCCATGATTCACAAGTCACATATTTGATATGTTTAACATGCCTCTCTACCGGACAAACACAGCACGAC